AGTTGATTAAAAATCCAATAGTAAAATATCCCTAGGCCAGTCCTGCCTGCTGAAACAGCCATGTCTTGAGGGCGCGGCGGAAGGAGGGGAGATCCGGAATCACCCGGATCTCTGGGGGCAGCTCGTTCCAGAGGGTGGGAGCTCCAACAGAGAAGGCTCTCCCCCTGGGGGTCGCCAACCGGCACTGTCTGGTTGACGGTACCCTGAGACAGTCGCTAGCACTGCCCCGTTTTTGCCACACGGTTGCTAGCACCGCCCGTTTTCACTGTGCAGCGGCGTTTTCGTCACGCGGTGTAGTGGCGGTGTTGCTAGCACGAGTGGGGATGAGTGCACGCACACATGTGCATGCATTGGCCAGCCTGTTCCACGGCCCAGTGGCCAGGAGGTCACAGCCCGGTAGTGGGCTGCAGCCCACAGGTTGGGGACCTCTGTCCTAAGGTCTTAAAGACATGGCTATGTTGCCAGGTGTGCGTGTGTGTGTGTGTGGGGGGGGTCAGACTGCAGGCCAGAGTCTAGGAAACAGTGATATTGATGAAGATTTTAGGGGGGTTTGTTTGCTTTTATCTTGGCTCCTGATTTTCCACGCACAGTACAATGTTGTTGTTTATGGCACTATTTAACTGTGGTTAAGGCACTATGACATGCTTTTGAGACGGGAGGCCCTATGCATTGAAATAAGCCAATAATAGACTAATAAGACTATGCGATGCGCTTAAGGACCACAGCGATTCATTTAACAACTGTGGTAAAAATTGTTGTGAAATCAGGTCGGACTTGATTGACAAGCGCAACGATTTATGACATAAATTCTGCTCCCTGTTGCGGTTGTTAAGTCGAGGACTGCCCACGCTACAAAATTAGCCTGCCTTTTGAAATAGTCTTTATGAACATTCAGTCATGCCTGTTCTGGAGATATCACAGCACGTCTGACACATCGTTTGTGCCCGTCAGAGACTGATTTTTTTTTTTTTAAAAAAAAGCATCCTGCCAGCTCCCCTCACAACTGTTGCATGCTTTGACTTACTGGGTTCGTAGAAGTCGTAGACGGTAGCGCTGGCTGGTTGCAGTTTTCCCACAGAAACTACCTGTTTGGCCCTGAAAGCGACACACTCACGACCGGATTCTGGGGCCTGGAAACATAAAGAAATATTTAAGCTTAAAAGGCTATATTCTACCTTTCTTCTGTGATCTAGGATGCAATCCTTCATTCGGGGGCAAATTGGACGATCCGTTTACAGGTTGGTTTGTTTCTTGGTATATATTCCGCTTTTATTATTTTTACAAATACAGCTAGTCTTCGACTTACAACAGTTCATTTATTGACCGTTCAAAGTCACAACGGAACTGGAAGAAAAAGGGACTTGTGACTGTTTTTCACGCAACCATTGCAGACTCCCCACGGTCACATGATCAAAATTCGGATGCTTGGCAACTGACTTATATTTATGACGGTCGCATGTCCCCGGGGTCATGTGATTCCCCCTTTGTGCCCCTTCTGACAAGCAAAGTCGATGGGAAGACCAGATTCACTGATCAACCGTATTACTAGCTTAACAACTGTGGAGATTCATTCAACAACTGTGGCAAGAAAAGTTGTAAAGTTAAGCAAAATTCACTTAACAAATGTTTCACTTGGCAACATAAATTTTGGCCTCAATTGTGTTCGTAAGTCAAGGACTATCTGTAACATGCAGTTCAGCTCCCCCCCCCCCCGCACACACTTGCTGATCTCTGGATGTGTTGGCTATAATTCCAGTCATTCACAGACAACATAAACAAGAACTCTGCTGGCTGAGGATGATGGGATGTATAGTCCAATTTAGGGATTGGGTGGGTGGGTTGCTGTTTGGAGGAGGCAAATGAAGCTAGGCATCAATTTAGCTCTTTTACAAACAGTGATGAAGGGCAGTGAACCAAGATGAGCTTCAAAAAGAAAGTAACAGGGATGATCAAAATGAAGACTCCAGCCTTTGGAAGGAACTGCGTTGTTTAAAAAAGGCAGATATCAGTGGCTTGCAGGTAAGTCCTCAAGTTATAACCACACGTGTTCTCCCCCCACACCCCGGAATGTCACAAATAACAAATCACGGATCATGGGTGCCACAATCTTCGTAAGTACATGATGGCTGGTAAGCACTGGAATTTCAATCACGGGACCACGGAGATACTGCAATGATTGTTAAGTGTGAGGACCAGTCCTAAGTCACTTTTTTTCAACATCATCGTAACTCTGAATAGTTGTTAAATGAATGATCATAAGTTGAGGACTACCTGTGTGCTTTAGCTTCTCTTCCCACACAGGCATGGAGAAGTACATCTGGCTTCAGTAGATGAGAGCGTAGGGCAGTGGTGGCGAACCTGTGGCACGTGTGCCAGAGGCAGCACTCAGAGCCCTCTCTGTGGGCACGTGTGCCGTTACCCCAGCCCCGCCTGCCCCCGCAGCCCCCTCATCACCAGCAGCCCCCCTGGAGGAGAGTCGCCCCCAGGCGCAGCCCACATGGAGCAGCGCAGCCAAGGACATAGCCGGGCAGCAGGAACAAGACTCCGCCCTCGCGCCCCATAGCGTGCAGATGCTGCTGCGGGGTGTGGGCGGAGGGCGTGGCTGTCATGGCTCTGCAGGGCTGCCTGGGTGATCTGCGGCGGGCCATGGAGGCGGTGCGTGGCCGGGCAGGCGGGGCAAGGGGCGGCGGGGGCGGAGCAGGCAGGGCGGTAGGCGGAGCGGGGACGGGGGGAAGGTTTTTGGGCACTCGGTCTCTAAAAGGTTCGCCATCACTGGCGTAGGGCATAAAGATCAGGGCTGATCTGTGGAATCCTTGGGGCCCTCTCAGCCTGGCTGTTTGCTTGCAGACATTGCCCAATTGGTGATGTTAGTCGGTTGGATAATGGAACCTCTTCAAGCAAACCCAGCTCTGAAGCCACCAAGGACCCCAAAGTCCATCTGAACATCTCAGTAAAACTGTGCCTTCTCCAACAGCCCCTCCGAATAGATTGTTTTGTCACCTGGTCAAAATACAGGAGCAGCTGTTGTCCTTGAATCTCCCAGTGGTTGATGTATTGGTCGGGGACCTCTTGCAGCTGCGGAGAAAGGAGGGACAGAACAGTCGTAAGAAATACGACAAGCAAGCAGATCTCCCAAACTGTAGGGAAGAAGGAAGATGAACTTGATGGAGATCAGCAGGAACTTTAGCCCCACAGAACTGGCTGAGGAATTCTGGGAGTTGAAGTCTACAAGTCGGATTTTCCGCCAAGCTCAAAGGTGGCTAGAAAACAGTAAGACATGGAGAAGTCCTGCATTCTCAGTGTTTTAGCCTCCAGTCTCTGCTTCGCCCAACTAAATGGGAACAAGTTGAGGGATTTCCAGATCCAAGAGTTTCTGCCGTGGAGAGGTAGGTCTGAGTAACCACCCTTTTCCTATATTAAAGGGAAATACAGTACTTTGCCAAGATCTACCTGAGCAAGGTCCATCTCATCAGGCTGAAAGCCACTCAACAGGCTGATGTCAACGATGACCATGCCGGAAACATGAGCCCCCCGTTGTCTCCTGTAGAAAAAGATTGGGAGGTGGGAGAGATTGTTTAATGTCTTTTGTTTGACCTGGGCGGTTTAATAGAAACATCAGACGATGACGTTGGATGCACTGGACCACATAAATGTTGCTACAGGTAGTCCTTGAGTTACAACCACGACTGAGCCCAACATGCCCACTCTTAAGCAAGACGAATATTAAGTGTGCTGTGCCCGGTGGTGGGATTCAGCCGGTTCGCACTGGTTCAGCAGAACCAGTAGCTAAATTTTGCTGCATTCGGAGTGCTTCCAGAAGTCCAGTCTAGGCCTCGGAGGCCTGGAGGAGACCTCCCAGGCCTAGAACGGCCCGCCGGAAGTGCGTGATGCCACTTCCGGAAGTCCGTCCTTGGCCTCGGAGGCCCAGGCCTGCATCAAATAAGAGAACTGGTTGTTCAGGTATTCCAATTCCACCACTGGCTGTGCCCCATCTTATGACCTGGGGCCACAGCTGTTAAGGAAATCACTGCAGTTGTGAAGCGACCCGTGAGGTTGTTAAACGAATCGGGCTTCCCACTTTGACTTTGCTTATCAGAAGCCGGCTGGGAAGGTTACAAATAGTGATCGCTTATGCTGCCACGATCATAAATACGCGCCAATTTGCCGAGCACCCAGATTCTGATCACATGACCATGGGGATGATGCGATGGTCCTTTTAGTGCAGTGATGGCGAACCTTTTAGAGACCGAGTGCCCAAACTGGAACCCAAAACCCACTTATGCATCGTCAGGTGCCGAGTGGGTGTGGCCCATTGGGTGGGCGTGGCTGCAGTGGTAACGACAGACTGGGTGGGACTAAAAAGTTCAATCAATCAATTCCAACTTTGCAAGATCTTTTTTTCCCCGCGAGAAGTTGAAATTGACTGATTGATTGAACTTTTTTTTTTGTACACGGCAACAGAGGCCTAAAGCGAAAAGGTTTTATAAAACCCAGCTGAAGGCCTAGGACTGGGGCGATGGCGCGCGTGCCCACAGAGAAGGCTCTGAGTGCCGCTTCTGGCACCCGTGCCATAGGTTCACCACCACTGTTTTAGTGTGAAAACTGGTCATTCGTCACTTTTTTCAGGGCCACTGTAACTCTGAACGGTCGCTAAATGAATGGTTGTAAAACCATTGTACTACCTGTACAAAGCATCATAATCGCCCCCCACCCCACCCCAGGCAGGGTTAGATATGGTAGAGCAGAGGTCCCCAACCTTTGGGGCACCAGGGAACGGTTCCGTGGAGAGAGGTTTCTCCATGGACCGGAAAGTGTGTGGTTTTGTGTGCTGCCTGCATCCCGTGAATGGGGCTTTGCTTGTTTGTTTGGATGGGTTGCTGGCATGCCACGGCCCAGTTCTGGTCCACAGACTGGGGGTTGGATAGAGGGATTGTGATAGAGGGAAGAAAGAATGGCCTGGAAGGGCAGGAGGAAGAGCCACCACCAAGACACAGTCAGATAAGAGGGATCTGAGCACAGCCAAGAAAGTAACTTGAGAAAATGTCTCGGAGAAACCCGTCTCTAGGTCACGTAAAAGTAGCCCTGACCTATGGCCATGTGGCAGAATGTAGTAGGTTGGATTCCCAGAAAAGGTGGGGGGGGGGGCTGCATTTATTTGCAGAACAGAGTTGGAAGGGACCTTGGAGGTCTTCTAGTCCAAACCCCTGCTCAGGTAGGAAACCCTATACCAATGATGGCGAACCTTTTAGAGACCGAGTGCCCCAAAACTGGCCCTGCCCTCGCTCCACCCCCTGCCCCGCCCCTATCCTGCCTGGCCACAGGGTCACTCACCACCTCCAGGGCCCGCTGCAGATCGCCCAGGCAGCCCAGCAGCGCCATGGCGGCCACGCCCTCTCCCTGCGCCCTGCAGCATCAACTGTGTGCGATGGGGCATGAGGGCAGAGTCTGGTCTATGCTGCCTGGCTGCCATGTCCTTGGCTGCGTTGCTCCGCGTGGGCCACGCTTGGGGGTGATGCTCCTCTAGGGGGGCTGCTGGTGAGGGGGTCACAGGGGGAGGCAAGGCTGGAGCAATGGCACGTGTGTCCACAGAGAAGCTCCGAG